CTTAAAGTCGTAAAAGTAGACAAAAATAAAGTTACCGAATGTAGGTGTCACCGAAAAAAAAGTTCGAACTTGCATTGCAAAAATACTTTAGACTCACGAGTTTACTGCAGTTTTTTTTCGGTACGGCCTAATGGCTTACCTCTGATAATATTAGTATAAGGTTGCCGCCTATGCGAAATTAGTTCCAAATTAAATAAATCATCAGAGTATGGCTGTCAAAGTATTTTAAAAATCTGCAATTATAATATTTTGGAAAATGTATTTAATTTATTATTTAGAAAATTAAGATAAGTAAATAAATAGTATGGGTAATAAAGCAAAGCTTTTACACAATTCAACGTGTATATGTATTTATAAGAAATGTTATCCCTTATTTTATCAGTTTAAGGTTGCCACTTACTTTCGATTCTATACAATTTAACAAACAAAAAATAATATGGATGTGAAATTAAAGGTATTGTTGAGAACTTTTATGCAGAAATATTTCTAGTGAGGGTTGCAACGTTTTTTTAATTATAAAAATTCGAATCTTTTTAATTTCAACGGGTTATCTAAATTGAAAGCCAAACCATGATCTCTTATTTAATTTTTGAAAACTTTGAAATAGGTACCGAAAATAGGCAATAAATACAATGATTTTTTTATTTTTAGATCATGTGATTTTTTTCAGTCAAATTTAATCGCTATTTTGTGATTTTTAATTTTTGACCAAAAATAACACAGCAAAACAAGGGCCAGGAGGCAGAAGCAGAAATAGTAACATGTACACTGGCGACAGAAATAATACTCATTGTCGAGCACACTTTGTATGGGAAAAAATTCGTGACACCGTCTACAAAAAAAAATTCTTAAAAATCAACAGTATTTTGCAGCCAATTTAAGCTTGCATTTTGTTATTCTAAAATTAAATGGTCTACAAAACTGCATACCAAAAATTTTTCAAAAAATTCTGAATGAAAAGTTTAAAAATTTGGTGAAAATTTGTCGAATTTTTATAATTGTTGTATTAAGTTTGAAAAGGGAATTTATATGGTGTTTGTTGTATAACTGGCCAGGCTTTAATAAAAAAAAATATTAAACACAAAATAAACCATGGAAATGTAGCCAAAACTCTTTAAAGTAAGGCGAGTCTATTATTTCTGCCGCCTGTGTACATATTTTCGAAGGATTTTGCGCTGAATCCAAATCTGGCCCTATAAAAGTTTTCAAAAAATCTTCGTTTCAATATAATATGTGTAACGTTTGAAGCAAGGCACATTAAACAGGTAGTATCAGTAGAGCAAAAACAACATTTGCGTGTATTTTGTTGTTGCTTCTGGTATCGAAAGTGTCAAAAACTGTTCTGAATTTTTTCTTCTAAATCAAAGCGTGCCATGTGAAATACAAAAAATTATAAAAAATAAAAAATTGAAATTGGAAAAAAAAAAAATTGTTGCAACTTTCTTTCCTAGTAAATTTGTTTGCTTATCGAAGCATTGATCCATCCTTTACAAGGGCCAGTAATCAGCGGTTGTGCTGCTGAGTTGGGCGAACGTTCCAAAAGCTGCTATTCAATCGCTTGTTTTGTATGGAAAAAGGTTTCACATGCAAATGGATTTTAACAATTCAGAATTTTTGTGAGAAAAAATTAAAAATATTTGACATTTTCGAGACCAAATAATTTGAAAATAAATCAAATCAGCTGCTCTACTGATACTACCTGTTCAATGTACCTTGGTTTGAAGGTATACAGTTTTGTATTTTCTTCTTAAAATGGTTTAAGATTTTGGTGCAACACTTCTTAGAACCGTTGGCCATTTGAGAATATAACGTTTGTTTTTTTTTGTTGTTTTTTATCGGCCAATTTTTCGTTGGTTTTTACCGCTATTGCTTTTTTGCTGTTCCGCTGTCCATATTTGTTTGGGTTTTTACTGCCATAAAAGTCGCCTCCTGGCAACGATTTTTCGCAGTTACGCGTATCGTACGAGCCTACTTCATATACCCACACAAATATACTTACATGAATTGAAGCATCGACTGTGAAGTGATCATGACCATGACTTTGTGAATGTATCCGTTTAACTGAATGTGTATTTGTTATATTGACTTATACTTGTTTTGACTATAAAAGCTTACAATTATGCGCATATTAACGTATTATTTTCATGCATGCAAACAAACATACATATGTACATTTATGATAGGAAAATATAAAACATAATTGTGTTGGTGTTGTTGCTTTTCTTCTATGACCATAACAGCATTTGTTGCTCTATGATCTGGCACATTCGGCGCACTTGTTGTGCTGGCATTTGGCCTGCCTGTTTTTCCTTGGTCCATTGTTTGTAAATGAAGTGGTTTTAAAGCACTTTTTAGTGAAACATATTAGCCATTCTACGATGTTAGATATATTTAAAAAATCTTTTTTTAACTTCTAGACGATCATTTAGGGGAGGGTGTGTGTAGTGTAATCTCTATCGAAACATAATCATTGAGTGTTTATGTAAAATTGGAACCGCTGAGCTAAAAAACAGTTACTAACTTATAATGATTAAAGCAAATTATCTAAGAACAGTCATTTGCACCAAATTAATATTTCTTCTCTTTCGTAATTTTGTATCAGTTACGTTCCCAATCCAATAATTTCAAAGCAGATAGACAAAATGTTACGCAGCGTTGGAAGTTAAAACGGCCAAGAGAATTACCACAGCACCATTTTTTTTTTTTTTTAAATATGTTTTGCCCATTAATTTTAGTAATCATTTTCAAACTCTTGTTCTTCGTAAAATTAAGCCACACATTCACTTACAATCACTTACCTCACCGCTCCACAACGCTAAAATTAATTTATTTGATTTCTAATTTATTTCGATGAAGATTAATGGTTTTTTGTTGTTTTCCATTTCGTTTCATTTGCTATTGATCTACTGATCTTTTAAGCTTCTTAGTTTCTGTGTGCAATGAAGCTGGATGAATTATGTATGTACAATAGTTTTGGAGGTCTTTGAGGTGAATTATTGCATTAGTATTTATCTACCTATGGATTCCAATGTCAAAGTTCACTGTGTTGTTTGAGTTCGATCTCTTATTTTTAAGTGATGGATCATGGAATTTCAATTTGACAGCAACGAACTCTTGGTGATTCTCTTTTTCTTAGCTCAAATTTATCCCAAAGTTTGCATCGCCCTTCCAGCAATGAGTTTTATATGTGTTCTAGAGCACAAAGACGGAAATAAGGTCAATTATTACCTTTTCAAAAGCGAAATAAAATCCATTGACTACATTGCTCTTTCAAACATTAACCCCGCGCGACCGGCGCGCTACACCCTATCCCGCTACGCCATCTAATAAATACTGTCGTCGTTTTCCTTAGCTGCTTTTAAATGATATCGTCACAAATTGCTGACGGAGGCATGAATACAGTGTAAGAAAATTCCATTTCTATAGTTATTTCCTTATAGAAAGATTGGTTTCTTTTCCACCTTAGACATTCCGAATTCGTTCAAAATATGCTAATTTAAAACACAGAATTCTTTCTGCGTTCCTCCGGGGTTTTTAGACATGGATTGTTTCTTTAATTCAATAGTGTTCGCTTTATTTTTGTGGAAACGAAACATGTTGTGCAAGTTCTGGATCATTTCTACACTCTTTCTTCAAATATTTCTCGTATTCCAGTTGCGTTTTGCGTTTGGTTTTTCGCTTGGTGTTTTTACTATATTCGTAATTTTACATTTTTTAATAAAATCAATTGGTGGTAGTTCATGATTGTGTGTGGATTAATAGCACCACACTGAGGATTTGGCAATAACCATTTTCATCTATTAAAAAACAACACTTACGGGGCAATGTTTATTGTAAGAACAATATTTTCTTTCTATGAATCGACACACTTTAAGCATTGTTGACGCTATTTCCATTTGAATGACTATTTCCAAATTTGTGTTGACTTTATTTCGCTTTTGAAAAGGTAATAATGTTAATTGACTTTATATATATGACTTTATTTCCAAATTTGTGTTGACTTTATTTCGCTTTTGAAAAGGTAATAATGTCAATCGACTTTATATATATATTTTTATATGAGAATTGAAGTCGGTTTTGTTTTTTGCTTAAAAATTACTTGTTAGCAAATATTTTGGCATGAAAATATCCACACTACCACTGCATGATTAAACATAATAGCTCAATCACAGCATCATACATATTTAACTACTATCATAAATTTTTCAATGTTCATAATAATAATATTTTTTTTTTTATTCTCTTTGCAGGTAAGTTACGCAGTATACAATTTACGTTGATCGTCAAGTTTAGCCTTGAAAGTGCAACAAAATGCGGCAGCTAAGTAAGAAAAGTTTGTTAAAAAAACATTTTATTTACATATCTCATTTAAAAAACGTCCACATTTGTTTGTTTATAATCATATATGTAGGGTTTATAAACTCTGCTAAGAATTGAACTGGAAACCAGCAGGCAATGGAGTAAATAGGCATTGGGTTGCTAAAGAGGGGGGTGGACCAGGAGAGTTTTGTGTTAATAAGCAGCGCGTGCAGTTGGGCGGACTAAAATGCACTTCGAGTCACGCGCTAAGTATCCACTGGCAACACAAACCGTCAGTGGCAGTGTTGATTTCAAAGGAAAATATTTGCATTTTTCATTTAGGATATGCTCGGTAATCCTTTTTTCTCTTCATATAGCAATTCGTTGTGAAAGAGGGTGGTTTTTCTGCAGACGACTTACATACTTACCTTACTACCTGCTTGGGGCCAAAAAAAAAGTTATTCGCATTGTTTGCAAACGTGCCGGAATTGTATTACCAAAATATTTGCAAAGCTCAACAATTTCGCCCCCAGGTGAAATATGTACTTACATGCATAGCAAATGGCAGAAAAAAGGGGTAAAACTTTAAAGCAAACAAACAAACCAGTAGAAACAAGCTGACTGAAATATCATCCAAGAATTTCTGCATGCTTTGTTAATACAAAAAAAAAAAAAAACTATTTGGTTTCGCATTTACCAGCTATTTATTTTCACTTTACAATTTCAACCTCTAAAGCTTTGTAAACAACGGACGTTCTCCCCTATGTATTTGTCCATTGCTTCAATTTCACACTTAACCCCCGAAGAATCGTTTAATTCTAACGGAGGTTAATTTAACAAGTTTAAAATCTTGTCAACTTGTGCTTGAATCTCTTGATTTTGCTCGGTAGTGGTTACTTCATCGCCCAACAGCGGTGGTGGCGGTTGTGCTGATGGCGTTGTATCGAACGGTGGCAATGGTGGCGCTTCGGTGGTCGTTGTTGTAGTACTAGTTGTGGTGGTGGATGTGGAACTGGTGCTACTACTCGCTGTTGTACTTATTGCTGGCGCGACTGTAGGAGGGGGGCGTGGTTTGACCGTGCCATCTAGACAACTTTGCAGATAGTTGTAGTTGTTAGCCGTATCGGTTACATATCGTCGTTCGGCAGCGTTACAACATTGTTCATGATGCAAATCGATTAGGCGATAACGTTCTTGCAATACGGTGGCATATTGCGAGGCATTGCCTGAAATGCTGTACGTGAATTTGGTATTGTCCGTGCCCTGTGGAAAGGAGAAGAACTTCATTAATATACAAATTAGCGCATAGATGGGTATGGAAGCGAGATTTATGCGGTGTCATAATATACCTTAAAATAGAAATAATAAAAAAAATGCAATAGCTTCAAAATTATAAAAAATATCGCTAGAATTTTTTTCCTGCGTGTATGAACTAGAGTTTTATAAGGTTTCCCTAAAGTTGAGAAATTAAAAAAAAAAACTGGAAAATACATTGCCATAAAATTTACTAAAGCTTAAAAAGAGTTTGGGTATTTTCAGGATATTCTATAATTTTTTCGATAAGGCGGATTCTGCTGGAAATATGCAAAACCGCATTTCTATTGCTTAAATCGGTTTCTAAGGCACTCACGAATATACACTGCGGCTAGTACAACTATTGTCAACCTTCTTACTCCTCTGACGTCCTAACCTTTTAAAAAATTCCGTAGATTGATTTTTGAAAGTGAGTGCACATAAGTTTTGGCTCCTGGCTTCATAACACTGTTGTTGTAAACATTTTAACCTTCTAAGTCTTACCACAACGGGTCTTTTTGCATTTGTTTTAAAGGGGTTTAGTGTTTTATCATTAGATAGATGGTAAAAGTGCTCTATAAAAATGTAAAGAAAAAAATTTTACTGGGGGTCCCCGAAGATAAAATTATCCGACTAAACGTAAATGTTCTATTGGTCCTTATCCCCTATACGGGGTACTACCATTATTATTGTTGGAATAAAGCACTGCGACCTCAAGATTTTTTGTGCCCCTTCATGGATTTATAGTGTGTCTATTAATCTACTATCCAAAAGAAACTTTAGTGTGGAGCCTAAATCTACGGATTGCACTCCGCCCTCGGTTATTAGATATTCATCCAGGTGTATTTTGCGTTTGTGCAACATTGCAGGACACCCTTCTACGATGTGTTGTGCAGTCTCCATATCCACCCTGCGAAATTTCCAGTTTAGTCAGGTTCAGTCTGTAAGTAATGTCCTGTCAGGATTCCCGTAAAAATTCTTAAGTTATTCTTGGATAGGCTCATACATTCCTTAAAGCGCGTTAAATTGTTTGACGGCGAAGAAGGACGCGTAAACTTATTTTCGTGGTCAACTATATTTGCGGGTGTAACAGTATGTAAATTCCCCAAAGAGATTTGGGGAATGATGCTGAAGTTTTCTTAAGCGCCTTTTTTCGTAAATTTTTTGTTGCGCGTCTTTTTTTCGACGTCGAAACACAAGCGCGCCTTTATTCGTGTCTAGTTACGAAATGTTCCTAAAAGTGCTTTGGACTGCTCTAAACCTGGTAGATTATCCCAGTAGCGATTTATATCCCAGAAACAATGTTGATGAACATCGCAGTCCTTTTGCCAAAGTCGACTACTTTCTTATACCCTATGTGTTCCACAGCCTCCGCATTCGTTCCTTCAAGTTTGATCATTGGTAAGAGCTGTACAGTGTTCTGTTAATATACCAATCAGTGTCCTAGCGTCCTAGTACAGGAGAAAGAGATAGCGATTAGTCCCAGACACAGCCCAGAATCTTTTAGCATCATGTATCCTGCGCCACAGATGATTTCTACGTCCATTTCTCCACACTGAGCCGATTCGACTGTTTGCTATGGAGAGTCACTCGCAACAAGATTAGGTCTAAACCAGTTCAGAATCCTTTGTTTTCTAGTGAAGAGTATGTACGATTTACATACATATATGTGACCTGGTCTACGAAAAGGGAGCTTACGTGCGAAAACTAGTTTTCTGTGAAAAAGCTGTTAAAAGTAAGCAACTCGTTTCGTTTACTCGTTTTTACTCTTCTTTCTCTACATTTTTAGTACACTTCTAAGCAAGTTAGGATTTTCTGCTTTTCACCACGTGAAAAAGCATCTCATCTTCCATCCGAATCAACCAAAAAGTGAAAATTGATTTTTTGACACCTAAGCCCCCTTTCCGTAGACCAGGTCACATATAAGCAAATCTCAAGAATTGTTTCATGTACATCGAAAATGGTGGCACACCTATTTTAGAAAATGCATTTTTTTTCAGTTTTGTATAAAGAACAAGATTCCATCGCGAAATTGTATTTAAATAAAAACCTTAAAAAGATATACTAGATATACAGTATTCCTTATGCACATACATACATATATATTTCTTTCTTCATGTATAGGACAATTTTAGAATGAATTTCGGGTGTGCCAAATAAAAATTGTAAAAATGGAATTTTAGTTTCTCAAATCATAGTTATCTTTTACTCAATTTAATTTTTTTTTCATTTGGTGACAAATTTATTAACCGACTTCACAAACAGGAGAAGGTTATCAATTCGTCGAAATATTTTTTATTATATTTTTTTGTTACCGCATAACCTTGGACCACGTTAACCGATTTCTATAAATTACAGGTGCTCCCATATTAATTTGGTTTAAAACCGATCATTAGATCATGAAGAAATTAATGATAATCTTAAATTTTTATATAAGAATTGAAAGCGTTTTTTTTGTTTTGCTTAAAAATTACTTGTTTTATTAAACTACATTCGTACGTTTGGAAAGGAGAAATTTTTCACCGTTTAATTTTAACATTTTGAAGTATCTTCAATTGTTAAAATGAAGAAATAGTCGCAAAAATTTCAAAAATTACAAAATAGCAGCGACAGATATTCTGCGTGCTGCCATTTATTTTTAATTTGGAGGCACAATTTTGAAACTTCACAAATGTGTTTTCTTTGATGCCAACATCCACTGGCTCTAATATGAACATTTCATTTGAAAACTTCCCAAAGTTGTAAAATAAGCAATCATGAGTGACAAAGAACAAATTAGTAATTTCGGTACCTTTTCGCCTAAATAAACGTTTGAAGGCTAAAATTGTTCAAATACTCCGTTGATTGAAATTAATGCAAAAAGAATGCTTTAGCGTTTTTTTATTCCGAGAGAAGGAAGTGACACTAAAAAAAAAACACCTGTGAGATTTGCTCTGTTAATGCTAAGCCCTACTTTGGTTGTTGACCGTAGGTGTATGTCTCGCACTGTTTGGCTCCTGAGTGAGCTGACTGTGGAGGGACACTTCCCGCTTGCTATCAGGAGACGCTAGATATTAGATATTCGGAAACACATACATATCTAGATCCAGACATTTTTGAAAAACTAAAACAACTGGGCTGGATTAACCAGTAGCATATTAACCGGTACGACCTATGACCGAGAAAACGAAAGAAGACTTTCCTGAAACTCGTTCTATATCAGATGATCGATCTATTCTGAAATACAGAATTAGTTAAAAACTTGCAACATTCTTAGAACTGAAAGCGATGCTCCCCCGTTAATTTAATCAATCAAAGTACATATGCCCGATAATTCCGAGAAATTTGATTGCGACTCTGAGACCATTGTTGTTCTTACAAAGTATTTTAGTCCTCATTCTACATGCACATTCTTTTCACAATTTTTTTCAAACGCTCTCTCCATCTAAACATTGGAAACATCTCCCTTGAATATTCAAAATTTACTCACAATTTTCGTATGACAATTGAACAGCTCCAATGTGTTGTTCAAGTCATTGCATGTACGTAGACTGCTACACACCGCCTCTGAAGCCTCGACAATTTCACGACGCTCCAACACTGAATCGCTATCAATTTGTTTGCGTTCCTCGCTCGCTTCGAGCAGGCAACTTTTGTATTTTCGACCGTAGGCCTCGCCGATGGCACTCGAATACGCTATGTAATCGGTGAAACAGGCGACAGACACCTGTGGATTCAGCGCCGTAATTCGCGAGGTGAATAGTAAACGTACCAAACCCTTTTGGGATGGCAGTGCTGCGTTGGGTGGCAGTTGTGACTGCGCCAATTGCAGGCCGGCGGCCAAGAGCAACATTGCAACTGTTAGTTGGTACATGTTGACTCCTTAGTAGTTTGCTTTTACGCAGGTTTACTATTCGTTCGGTATTAGTTGACTCCAACTCGATTGTGTAAAGCTCCAAATTTAGGGGCTAAAGAAAACTTTTAAAATTTTAATGCTATTGTTTCTGCGACGAGTTGCGTCTCGTCGTTGCCGAATTTCGCAAAACTATGTGCGCCGATAAGTTGGTTGATGATATTTTATATTAGTGTCTGAAATATTTTGCATTTTGTCTACTCTTATCTGGTATATTATCTGGGCCACAATGAGTTGGTCAATAAACGGCAGCAACATCAAATTCCACACCCCTAACAGCATCGAATAGACGGACGGACGGATGTTCTTCTTTGGGACTTGATTGCTTTATCTGGCGCGTCGCTCGATGATCAAAACACTACGAGGGTGGGGTGAGGGAAAAAGTGGTTTGCGAAAAAAAGTGTTATCCTCTTTGGGGTAACACCTATTTTTTGCTTAACTTCTAGCCAGATATGTTGAAAATACTTGTAAAAAAATATTTAAATGCAAACTAAAAATACTTTAGATTCGATTTCGATTGTAACTTCACTGAACCTTCATACATGGGCCTACAAATCGTAAACCCACCCTCGTACATTTATGTATTTACATTAGTGTGCCTCACAAAAAATATGCGGATTTTCTATCGAATTTATAAAACTTATATTTTAAGAAAGCGCCAAAGTACTGCGAAAAATATTAAAATTTATCTAAGCTAGCCCGATTTAAAAATACCTCCTAAAATCTCATTATTATGACTCAGTTAATAACATTTTTCAAAATATTTATGCAGACCTGTTAAGCTTAAACTCTTTTATCATCTGAGTTGATTTTTGGCAAAATATTTTTAAAAACGAATTTTATATATAAAAAAACTCGATATTTGGAGGTATTTGTAAATCGCTCCAGATCACGGATATCTTAATATTTTTCCGAAATATTTTGGCGAAAGTTAAAAATATATTAAAATTTTATAACTCCGTTTGAAAAATAGTACAGATTTGTTTTTGTAGGAGAGTGATGCATCCTAATATACATACATACATACATGTTTGCCATTATTTACCTAATTGCGCTTGTTTGCGTTCTTCAGATTTCTTTTTCATTTTGTACTATGCTTCGGGTTTTTGCAGATCATCAAAATCCTGGCATTCTAACGTTATTAGCACAGCACCCGCACACTAACTTCACAAATGTGCGTAATTCTTTTTCAATATTTACATCAGTGCCACTGATAACAAGGTGCAATGGGGGTAATTGTTGGTCAACATTAGCGCTCATAACTAGATGAATCACTGCAAAATTAAAGATAAAATTGCAATCTTTAGCGGAATGTCGCTAACTGCTTAAGCGAGAGAATAGATATTTAACAGTCAATGTCAAATGTTAGTGTACACCTAGTTTTAATAAAACATTCACAATTATTTTCATGACTTTTTTTTCATTTATTATTCATTAAAATATAGTGCATTCTATAACATAACCCATGTAAATCAAATTTTCATACTTTATATAAAGTTCAGAAAAAGTCAAAATTTTTATTCAGAATTTCTAGAAAATTTTCGAGTATGCAGTTTTGTTGCCCGTTCAATTTTTCTTTACAAACATTCAAACGATTTTCATTAAAATTTCAAAATTTTTATCCAGAATTTCTAGAAAATTTCTAGAAATGGCACAAAACTGCATACTCAAGAAAATTAAAAAAAGTCTGATTAAAAAGTTGAAAATGTGCATGAAAATTTATTGAATTTTCGCGAGTTTTGCACAAAGTTTAGAAATTACATTTTTCTATTTTTTGATGTAGAATGAACTATTTTTATAAAAAAAAATAGCGGAAAAAAATTGGAATAGAAATTGGTGCATATATTGTTCAAAATTCGCTGTGCCAATACTTTTTTCCGGCAGTGTATGTTTGTTTTGAGGTACTATCTGCCTTCTATGACTCACAAAAGTAAATAAGTGAATTGAATATCGCAACAGATTTTTTTATGAGAGAGTGTTAAAAGTTTTTACTCCTAGATATTGGTAATTTCAGGACAAAATTAGGAAACCCCTTTCATAACTGTTTGACTTAAATATGCACACTAAATTATAAGCTAAGTCTATATTATGTATCAAAATTAGTAAATACTCGTGTTAATGGTATAGTATATACATATGTATGTATGTATGTACATTGTATAGTACATGAATACACATTTGCATTTAGACAAAAAAAAGAGAAAAACGTTTCTACACTTTTTTTGCAAAACATACATTGCTAAAAACCGACGTCAGACCAAAGTTTTTTGCGGCATCAAGAACAACGCAGACTGCAGTGAAAACAGGATTTATATAATAATGACTTTGGCCAAAATGTTAAGCCAACAATGTTATCTCCCAATATGTGTATAGTAAAAAGTTGCAAAGGTTTACAGAGCCAAAATAAATATTTTTTATCTACACATTTTTATTAGGAAGTCATCTTAATTTTAATAATTCAACTTATTTAACTATTTTTATATAAACAGGAAGTGTCTTGCAAAAATGTGATTAATTCGGGATGACTCATAGGTCACTCGTAAATAATTATGCCGCAAAACTACGTTTGATCTCTCAGCTTGGAACTAACTGTTCCCTTACATTCGAGACATGTCCTATGAAAAATTAATTTTTTGTTTTGAGTTTTTAGAAAAATTTTGACTATGTATGTAGCTTTATAGATCATTAAATTTGAAATGGAAAATAAAATCGTTCTCTAATTCGTATAATTTATATTCTTATTATATATATGGGTGTTTTCAGCGGAAAGTTTACCGCGAAAAAAAATCATATATCAAATTTATTTATGGGCCAATTTGACTTCTGTTTATAACATATACTAGTTATTTAAGCAGAACCATTTTTGAGAAAAATTATCTAGCTAGGTGACCCAAGTTTAAGATATTTGGAAAAGCTGTATTTATGCTCGGATCTGTTTCAAATTTTATATGTTTAGTTGAAACGTAGTAAGACATAGATTTACAAAAAATGGAACCCTTGGTGGCGCTGATGCCAAAAAAAAACCTAAATCCGACATAAAATGCATGTTTTCTTCGCGTTAAAAATTGGTTGAAAAACAATATTAACACAACTTTTTAAATGGAAATTTTAGTAATGTAAGGCCAGGTGACGTCAGGTCAGATAATTCAGCTGATTAAACCTTAAATATTTAAAATATTACTGCAAACATGTTTATGCAAATAATCTTGCCCAATTCGCAGAGTTTTGCAATTTTGTATCCCAAGTCAAAATCCACTTCTGTTTTTTTGTAACGCAACGCCAGCGTGATATCCTTAAATCTCTTCTACCAACAGTTGTAATTTTTTTGCTGGATAAAGGGTAATTTAATTACTATGTAAATATAGAAAAACCTTTTTTAAAATTATTATTTATTTTTATTTTTTTTTTACATTTTATAATACAAATATTATTAAAAATTAACGCAAACTCGTAGTCACATGCAACTTTCACTTTATTGTACTAAAGTTAAATGATTCAAAAACTGCATACCCAACATTTTTCTAAAGACAAAAAAAAATTATCTTGGTGATAAGTTTTTTAAAACATTTAAAATTTTTCATGTGAATTTTTTTCGTTGTTCTCAACTAGTTTTTATTATGTAACATTTATTAACTGGAACAGGAAAATCGAATTTCTTCAAAACTTCCAGTTTCTCTGCAGTTCTCATTAACTATCATAAAAAAAAAATATAAATCAAATCGGATGAAAACTACGTACTGCAAAGAATTTTGAAGCAGTATTTTCAATTTTTCCTCACTGTGCGCTCCACAGTGTTATATTTTGGAAAGAAATGGACAAAATCAAATATCTCGAGAACGAGATGAGTACCAAAATGAATGTAACGAAGTTTTAAAGCTTTTAAGAAGGAGAATTCAGAAAAAATAGTATCGTTGAATAAACCAATTATCTTGACCTTTAAAATGACCTTCAAAAATAGAAGGTTTTAAATTTTCCTAATACATATGTACAAATTTTTGCTAGACTAAAGAAACGTATTTTAATTTTTTTTCTAAAGTTCATTGCATGCTGTTTTTAAGTCGAAAACATAAAAAGTTAAAAAAATTTACTTATAAGGGCGGGTTTTGAAGTGAAGGTATATTTTCATTCAATTAGACCTTTAAAATGACCAGCAAAAGTATAATTTTAAATTTTTTTTTTATTTTTTTACATAAAAACAGCTTGGAATAAACTTTTATAAAACAATATTAAATAAAAAATTAAATATTCGGTTCTTACGACCATGGAAAGGGGTTGCTTGAAACAATAACAGCAAAAATAAGTGTTTGAAAATTTCAAAGTTCATTGCATACTGATTTCAGGTCAAAAAAAGAAGAAAATTTAAAACCTTATATTTTTTTCATATATTTAACGGTCGAGGCAATTCTCTTATCCAACGAGATTTTTTTCCTGAATCCGCCATCTCAAAAGCTTTAAAATACCATTCAATTTTTGTTCGCTATTTATTCCCTTTCTCGAGATATTTGATTTTGTCCATTTTTTTCCTCAATAGAACACTGTGCGCCGCCTCCGAACGGTAAGTGGGTTTGATGAGAAGCTTTTTTATAGCAGCGATACACTCGGAGGTTTGCCACAGCCTGCCGAGGGCGACCGTTCTTAGAAAAAACTTTTTCTAATTTAGATGTTGGCCGGGCTAGGGATCGAACGCAGCTGCTGCGGAGTGGTATCGCGCACCTCCAATCACTTAGCGAGAGCGGCATGGTAGAGGATATATGGAAGAATATATTTTCCCTTTTCTTTCGTAAAACAACGTTAAAAAAATTATGCACTTGGACGTATGTACTTAAATGTATGTACATATATTAGTTACTGGTTACATAAGCTCTCGTTAAATGCATATTATATTAAGCTGTCACTCAAGGTGATTGATTTAATCGCATAATCATCTACTCCTACATGTGTATGTATGTATGTATATTCAAAATCATTATCTCGCCACCTTTATTGTCATTCAATTGTCAACAATTGTATTGATTGTTTGTTGATAGTTATAAAATCAAGCTTAATTAATTTAAATCGTATTAAATTCAACAAACTGTAAGCGATATGAATATTTTGTGGCTTCGCCCGTCATGTCATACACATTCGCCAATCATACAGCACGCCAAGCACCCAAACGGTTACAGCTACACAGCTTAAAAAAACAGTAGCAGTACGAGTATCATTTACGAAACAAAACCAGTTTTTGAAAAGTTTGATTTTCATAGTGATTTCGTCGTAGTGAATGAAGCGTAAAAAAAGGGCAATAATAGATTTACTTGAAAATTATCTAGTAGAGCAGTTTTCTTAATTTTAGCTTGAAACAAATCAATCGTGACTGGAAGCATTGAGGCAGAAAAGTAGAGAG